CCCCCCCCGAGTACCTTCTGCCACCTAAGTAAGTAGAAGTCAGTAGTAACATAAACAAATGTAAGTCCCCCACCTGTACATGGCTGGTTTCTGCTGTCAGGAATTGACCATGGCCCAACCCAAGAGAATGTTTTGCCCTCAAATGCCATTGCAGGCCTGTACGCAGGGGGTGTTTGAGAAGTGCAAATGCACCCCCCACCCACCCATGGTAGCCCAGGGGTCCAATTCCAGCTGGGCTGGAGCGGCACACTGTGCAAGCTCCCCTCTCCCCGTGCTCCAGCTTGCCAGGGAAAGGCTGAGGCTGATTCCTCCCCCCTTCTCCAGGAGCAAGGCCAGGTGTGTTACTGGACCACGGTGGCAGGAGCAGGGCAGCAATCTGCCCCTCCCATGGCTCGGGCCGGACTGCCACAGCTACGGCCCAACCAGACGGGGTGATTCTGCCTCAGCCCTCTCAAGTGGCCAGGGACTTTTTGTAATATTGTTTTTCTCTTATGATATTACAACAACATCTCCGAAGGTTATTTCTATACAACCTTTATTACTGGATGCATTTTTAGTATGTTATAACAAAATCATTTTACCAATCACTGTTTTCACTCAAATTTTTCATTAACCTCTCTTATGAACATCCATTGCATGACTCTTTTGAGTTCCTTTATATTTAAAAAAATTGTGATCCACATTTACAAAAAAGCTCACATACACACACCCCACACAAACAGAAGTTCCTTCGTATGGGCCTGCAGTCTCAAAAACTTGTAAAACTCCAGGTTTGGCTAACCTTTTCCAGTGCTTGGTTTTCCCAGCTTCACTTAGTTGTATGTCTCTGAGCTCACCACTAAAACTACTGAAGCTCTTTCACTTAATGCAAGGTGGACAGGTCACACACAGCAGAAAGTGATTCTTGCCTTACATATCTTTCCGTATCTTCGTGTATATGTACTGGCATCAGATCCTACTGCTTGCCCAAGAAGCAAGAGAGCAAATCAGCGACATTAATCTATATCTTTATCTTGGCAGCATATAATGCTATCCACAGAGCATAAGTTAGCATAAAAATAACACTACATTTGTGCCACGTAAGAATGTTAAAAATAGGTGCTGCACAGCCCAAAGAGAAGTTTGCAAGTTATCTGCATGTCTGTCCACAGGTGCATGTTGCATTAATCAGTTATCAGGAGACTTAACAGCTTCCAAATTCAATTTGGAAGGAGCTGAAAATCAGAATATTGAGTTGTTTTGATCCACTATATGAAGCTGGGAGCTTGAAGACACACGAAGGATTTGCTTCCTTTCTGAGAGGACTTAATGAGAAAAACTGGTGAATTAATCTTGGGCTCAACCTCTCTTACCTGTGACAACTTATCTGGGGTGTGTAATGAATATTACCCAGAAGGTCTCAAACAAATGCAGAGGAAGTCTTCATCCTGATCTAAATATCTGTGAAAAGTTAATATGAAATATTTTCCCCTGTGTCATGACAAGAGCTGGCCAGAAGCCAGAATTTCTACTATGCAGAAAATTAATGTTTAACACAAAATTAATTCAGAATCAGAACAAAAAGACAAAATTTTGAAATTTTCCGCGAAACAAAGTTTTTGGGAAAAAATCTATTTTGTAGCAATCGAAAAAATTTTCTTTGGTAAAGTGAACAGTATTCTGTCTGTTTTGACTGTGTTTATTATGCTCTTGTTAGTTTAAACTGTAATGTGTAACATACATTCTTCTTAGAGTGATGTCCCTGTGGGTGCTCCACTGTAGGTGCTGGGCTTGCCCCAGCACCGTAGAATGGAGATTTTTGCAGTAGCAGTACCCAGCAGGACCACGCATGTGCGGCCTTCGCGCCATTTTGAGTGAGTGCGTAGTCTGGCCCCCGCCAGTTTCTCTCGACCGCCACAGGCTGCAGACGGAGTGAACTACGTCTCTTCAATTTCCTTCCTTATCGTGAGATCACCATTGTTAAAAGTTTTTGAAAGTTGTCATTCTTCCTCATTTTTATTTCCCTTAAGTATTCCTCCCAGTTAAAAAAAAAAATTGTTTAAATACCTCAGAGCTTCTCCTCTCCTGCTCGTACCCATTACGACACCCCCAGATTCATATGCTGAACCTCACCACATGGTTCCTAACTGGCTGAATCCTTCTGAATCCCTTTGCTCCACACAGGTCAAACACATTTTCATCCATAGTAGATGACAAACAACCAGAAACACTTACCTTTCAAAATGGCGCAGGTTCGTCTCTTGGTGCACCACACAACAAGAGCTTCCTGAATCAATTCCTCTGCACTTTATCCTCGATTACTTGCTCCACCTAAAACACACAGGGCTGTCATTGACATCCCTCAGGGTCTATCTATCGGCCATTTCGGCGTTCAGACAACCTATTGAGGGCACCTCCCTCTTCGCCCATCCAACCACAAAAAGATTCATTAAGGGCCTTACAAATTTAAGCCTTCCCTGTAAACCCGCTCCTCCTGTGTGGAGCTTAGATATCGTACTCGAAGCTTTAACGACTCCGCCATTTGAACCACTCGCTACCATACCACTTTATCTCGAAGGTATCATCAAGCTTTCATGTGAATGAACCAATTGTCCTCCCGTCTTTTCACTCAAAACCTCACCCCTCCTCACATGCAGCGGCTCTCTATACACTTGACGTTTGAAGAGTGTCTTTTACATAGACCACGTGAAATTTTTCAGAAGAACCGACCAACTGATTGCTGAGAGATCTGGCCGAGAGATCAAAAGGACATCCAATATCATCCCAGTGAATCTCCAAACTCATAACCACCTGTATAACTGAGGCCTACGCTTCCAAGCGTATTCTGATTCCAATACAACCTCGAGCCCATTCTACAAGAGCAATGGCAACTTCAACGGCCTTCCTCAAGAGTGTTCCCCTGAAGGACATATGCAGAGCTGCCACCTAGTCCTCACACGATACCTTTATAAAACATTACGCTATACATCAGAGGAGGCATTCAGATACCGTGGTACCATCAGCAGTGCTCTGTTCAGCAGATAAATAGGGATTCCGTTCTTTTCCCTCCTTCCTGCTCAGTGGAGTACTACTGTTCAGTCACCTTCAGTGGAGCACCCACGGGGACATCACTCGAAGATGAAAGTGAAGTTACTCACCTCGGTGCAGTAACTATCGTTCTTCGAGATGTGTGTCCCCGTGGGTGCTACACTACCCTCCTTCCTCCCCACTTCGGAGTCCTTTTTCCTTTATGTCTTTCAGACTCCAAGGAGGCCTCGAGGGACTGGCAGGGGCCAGATGGTGCACTCATTCAAAATGGTGCGAATGCCGTGAATTGCCCCCACACATGCGCGGTCCAGCCGGGTACTGCTACTGCAAAAGTCTCCGTTCTGCAGTGCCGGGGCAAGCCCCGTACCTTCAATGAAGCACCCACAGGAACACATCTCAAAGAATGACAGTTACTGCATCGAGGTGAGTAACTTCGCTTTTCAAAACAAAAATCATTTCAAAGCAAAATGTTATCATTAGGAAACATATTGACCTTATCAATATGCTTAATTTCAACTTTTTTTCAAAACTAAATCCTGTTGAAATCACCACTTTGCCTCAGACTGTTTTGATTTTGACAAATCAATATTTTCCAGCAGAAAAATATTTTATCAGAAAATTTTCCTCCTGCTTTAGTTATAAAGTGTGTATCGTTCTACCCTTGCTTTTATAAAAAAAATTGGGTTTTTTTACATACCTGTAGTGTTGTTATATCAGACATAAGAACAAGGCTTGAACTCTCACTTTGTCTCTGCTGCTTCTAAGTCTATAGAATGGTGAACAAGAAAGGAGGGAAACATTTTAATGTGACCATGTTGGAGTCCATCATTTTAATTTCATAGAGGAATTAGAGCAACAATCCTGAGCATTAAATACACATTAAGCAGGGTTAATTGGATGGCATGTGAATTATATTTCACCTCTAAAAGTAAGACATCAGCTCCATTTTGATAGATGGCTTTTGAGTCTGCTGTTGAGATTTTTAACATGTAAGGTTCCACATGGGCATGTTTACCAGACTTCTATCCAAAGCACATCTTGAAACACCTGTTGCAGATTCTGTATGCCAGCTCTGAGGAATAGCTGATCTCTTTAGGAATGTGGCAGTGGGTCTGGCTTTTTAGTTGTGACTTGGAGACATAGAATCCATGGTTTACATCACCAGACTAGAAGTCAAAAGATCTGGGTTCTTTTCTGCTTTATGCTACTTGACTTTGGACCTCAGTTTCTCAAATCAGAAAAATTGAAGCAATACCACCTCCTTTTGTAAAGGGCTATTTTAATGGAGTCTGCCTCTAGTAAATACTGGTCTCACAACCATCTAAACTCCCCATTGTTCTGGGTTTGGTCAAACTTTTTGAGTGCTAGGCATCCCCAGCTCTGCATAGTTGTTGTCAGTCACAAATCACTATGATGGAGTTCCCAATATACATGCTGAAGTTTTATTGCTTATGTGATTGGGTCATGATCAGCTAGGAATGAACATGGTCTTATTTTTCCCTTTACATAACCTCCTCTTCCTATGTACAAACCTGACATCAATACAGCTATCCACTCCAAGGAAAGTACTTTAGACAATTCAAGTGCACGAGGCTGTGATAGAGGCACAAAATAACAGGCTCTGAAGCAGGTATAAATAATACCTAAGTACTAGGCTGAGCACATAATTGAAAGAAGCGATTTTAGTTTCAGAACCAAACAGGAGATCTTTATAAACCAACCTCTTTCCCCTTGTAAGATAGAACAATCCTCTATTAAGGAGTTCCAGAACACGAGGGGGATGTCTCTTCTCATCAATATGTGGAAATATTACTGTCTCTGTGCTTGGCTTTCACTTTATAATGCCACTGAATTATACAGTCATCCACCACTCATGACAACATTGCTTTATGACCTCACCTGCCAACAGTATCAATTAAACAATGCCAAGAGTTTTCATATCAGTAACCTCCAAAGGACTCATGCACCAGAGCCAACCATGATGCGGTGCAAAGGAATACACTGCTAGCTTATGTACAGATGAGTGGTAGTTTTCATCTTCCGAGGCACTTGTTGCTTCTGGCACCATGGATGATGCTGCAGTTCTTAAGAGGAAAGGCTACATCATGGGGAGCAATTTAGGAGAGAGCTCTTTTGCGAAAGTCAAATGTGCCTACTCTGAGCGCCTGAAATTCCACGTAGCAGTGAAGATTACAGATAGGAAAAAAGTTCCTCCTGAGTTCTTGGAAAAATTTCTCCCCAGGGAATTAGAGATATTGGCAACAGTGAGCCACTGTTCTATCGTCAAGATCTATGAGATCTTTGAGACATCTGGCAAAGTCTACATAGTCATGGAGCTTGGTGTACGAGGAGACTTACTAGAGTTCATCAAGAGAAACAGAGGTCTACCAGAAGAAGTGGCACGCAAGATGTTTCGCCAGCTATGTTGTGCTGTCAAATACTGCCACGATTTGGATGTTGTTCACAGAGATCTGAAATGTGACAACATCCTCCTGGATAAAGACATGAACATCAAACTGTCTGACTTTGGCTTTTCCAAACGCTGCTTCCGGGATGAGAATGGGAAAATGATCCTCAGTCAAACCTTCTGTGGTTCTGCTGCATATGCCGCTCCTGAAGTCATAGAAGGCATTCCTTATCAGCCCAAAGTTTATGACATATGGAGTCTGGGTGTCATTCTGTATGTAATGGTTAGTGGATATATGCCATATGATGACTCCAATGTTAAGAGAATGCTACGCTTTCAGAAGGAACATCGAGTGATCTTTCCTGAGTCTTTCACACATGAATGCAAAGATCTTATTTTCCGAATGCTGCAGCCTGATGTGTCTCATCGGCTACGAATCGAAGATGTTTTGAACCATTCTTGGGTGCAGGGGAAGCGCCAGAAGCCAAACACCATGCTTCCCTAATCAAATAATAAACCACTAGGCACAAACAAAAGGTAAGGCATATCTGTTTCTAGAGGCTCTCGTACAACAGAGCATTGGAACTGCTGCTGCAATCCATGATTTCCTTTCCTCAGTGTTCCCTGTCATTCTCTTTATGAGATTTACATCCACTTTCATATTTAGCTGCAGCCAACCACTGTGTAGAAACTTATTTCCTTTATTTCCTATGCTGCAGAGGTTAGGGTTGCCAGGTAGACCCCGCCAAAAAACCGGACACACTTGATCATGGGCAGGGGGAGGGAGGGGAAGAGAACC